GTGCGGGCGGAGGGGCCGGGCTGCAGCGGGGGGCTGGGCACGGTGGGGTCTGTGTGTGGGGCAGATGGGGCAGGGCTGTGGGGTGGGCAGGGGGTCGAGGGCTCTGCCTGTGCTGGCAAGGTGGTTCGCACGCCAGGACCTGCTGCTGCCGTCCACCCAGCCCAGGAAGTTTGTCTGGGAGAGGAGAGGCAGCAACATCCTGGGCCTGGTTCTGTGTCCCAGGGTCCCTGCTGCCGGTGGTGCTGGGGCTGAGCCCAGGGCAAGCGGCTGCCAGGCTGTGCAGGGGGCAGTGGGCTGGTGCAGGGAGCAAGTGGCTGCCGGGCAATGCAGGGAGTAGCAGGCTGCTCTGCCCCCTCCCTCTGGCATAGCAGGTTGTGGGGTGGGACTGCAGGGTCACGGGGGTTGGGAAGCGGAGGACTGGGTTGTAGGGCCGTATGTGGGACAGCGCAGGGGGGGCTGTGGGGCCGGCAGGGCTCTGAGGGCAGTGATTTCTGGGCAGGTGGGTGCTGGGGGGGAGGGGAGCTGTGAGCTTGTGGGGCAAGGTGGGGGCCGTGCAGGAGATGTGCTGGATGCCCAGGAGGGGTCGTATGGGACTGAGCCAAGGGTGTCCTGTTAGGGCATGCCAATGGCCTGGGGGCTGCACATGAAGCTGGGGAGTGTGAGCGGGCCATGGGCAAGGTGGGGTGTAGGAGCCTGTGCACTGGTGGAGCCAGGGGACCCTGCTGGGGCAGTGTGGGGACCCCATGGAGGGTGTTGGGGAGCCAGCCCCCTCCTCATGGTCCGTGTCATTTCCTCCTTTCCCACAGACCCCTCGGGAGACAAGACGCTGCCACCAAGCCCCACGTGTAAGTGCAGAGAGAGCAAGAGCTGGGGTGAGGTCTCCACTGGCTGTCACAATGAAGATTGACTTTGGGCCAGCACCAGCTCTGGGTGCTCCCTTTCCAGCCCCAGCCCCAGCCCCGGAGACCCCACCCCTGCCATGGCTGGCACCAGGAGATGACCTCCATTCCCCAGGGATGTGGTGCCAGCTCTTCAGGGACTTCAAGCATCCAGAGGTAGAGGGGCCAGAAGTGGTTTGCAGCTGCCTGCGGGAGCTCTGGCAGCACTGGCTGGAGCCCCAGCGCCGCAGCAAGGAGCAGATCCTAGAGCCAGTGGTGCTAGAGCAGGTCCTGGCCATCCTGCCCCAAGAGATGCAAAGGTGGAGGCCTGCACCAAGGCCATGACCTGGGCTGCAGACTTCCAGCTGGGGCAGGTACGGGACAAGCAACTCCAGGTGAGGTAGTTTCACCCTGGTCATAGATGCTGCCATTCCCATCTCCGTGGGCCTGCGGGATGTACCCTCCCAGCTCCAGCTCCGCAGTTCCCAGCTCCCCAGTGACATGTTTGAAGCAGTGCCTGGGATGGACGAGGTGGTACCTCGGAGAAGATGGTGTCCACTAGGCCTGTGCGAGTAGGCAGGTATTCAATCCGTCCGCTTCAGATGCCAGGGATCTGATCCAGAGCTCCGGACCGGGTTTCCCGCTTTGATCCGGCCAAACTGACTCCGAAGCTTCGGGGCCGGATCTCCGAGGCGGCTATAGGGTATAATGGGGAATCAATGAAATATCTATAACTTTGTTGTTTTTTGTCTAAGGTGGATGAAACTTGAAGGGTTGCTAGCCTCTGTGAAGAGCATGCAGCCTGCCAAGTTTGAAGAAGATCAGTATAGGGGTTTGGAGGAAACTGCACCCCAAATTCCTGAAAGCAAAACTCATGTCACGTCTATGTGTTACACCACAGGGGGTCAAAACTGCAGGGGTGGTGGCCCCTGCTCAGGCCACAAAGCATGCCAAGTTTCAAGGAGATATGTGTAGAGATTTGGGGGAACTGCACCTCAAGCTGTGGACTAGCAAAACTGGTGCCGTGGGTGACACTGTGCTAAGGCGCGGCGGGGTGACAGCTGCAGGGATGGGGGCCCTTGCTGCAGCCATGAAGCCTGCCAGCTGTGGAGGAGATCGGTGCAGGGGGAGTCTGGCTTCTGGGGCCTGCACCCCACGCTGCTGACGGGCAAATCTTGTGACACGGGTGCTTGTGGGACTGACTGTGTCTGTCTTGGGGCTGTTGATTGTCTGTATTCATTATTTCCTCTCCTTAGTCTGTGGTTTTGTAGGTGTTAACGAGGAACGATTGAAGCTTTCAGGGGCTAGCGAGCCTGCAGGTTTCATCCCGCTGTGCCTTAACACACGCAGTGTCACCCATGTCACAAGTTTTACTTGTCTGCATTTTGAGGTGCAGTATCCCCCAAACCCCTGCACCGATCTCCTTGAAACTTGGCAGACTTTGTTGCCTCAGCAGGGGCCATCACCGCTGCAGTTTTCACCCCACTGCGGCTTAACGCATACACGTGACATGAGTTTTGCTTTCAAGAATTTGGGGTGCAGTTCTAGCTGAACCCCTGCACCGATCTTCTGGAAACTTGGCGGACTTTATGCTCTCAGCAGAGGATACCACTCCTGAAAATGTCATCCAAATCAGATGCAAACCAACAAAGCTATAAGTATTTCATTGATTTCCCCTTATACCCTATGGCCGGATCTCCGAGGCGGCTCCATAGCTTTTCCAAACCACTTCAGAAAGCCTAACGAAGCCAGCGCGTCGATCCGGACATGCTTCTTCAGACGCCGAAGCATCTGAAGCTTCTCCGGATCTGAAGCATGGTCTGAAGCCTCGCACAGCCCTAGTGTCTGCTGGGGCATTTGGGAGCCTCTTGATTCCTGACTGGGTGGGGGCAGGCTCTGAGCTGGCAGCACCAAGGTGAGATGCCCTGGTCATTCTCCCCAGCAGAAAGATCCCTTATCTTGTCTGGGCCTTGTAGCACTGCCATGCTAACAAGCAGTGAGGATCAGTGCCCAGCCCAGGGGCTTTTCCTGCTCTCCTGGTGTCCCCTGGAAGCTCATCTCACAGCCTGGAGCAGATTGGCCTTGCATTGCCCTCCCCCTCTCTTTAAACTCTGAATCCTGTCCCAGGCTCTGAGCCCAGGGGTCCCTTTGGAGCCATGCTCATGAGGACTCTGCCATAGAGCAGCAATTCCCCACTCCAGGGAGGGACAGAGTCCCTGGGGCTCAACCCAGCTTCATGGACTGAACTGTGTCACTGTGACTCTCTGCTCCCATGAGTGAAGCCTGTGGCTGCCTCGGGCACATGCCAGTGCAGAACAAGAGCAGGGCTTTTCCTGGGCCAGCAACACCAGGTCTAACATGTGGATTCCCTTCCCCACCCAGCAGATGCAGGACCCTGAGCAGAGCTGACAGAAGTACAGCAGGCAGTGGGGCCAGGGGCAAGGGACACAACAGGAACTCTGCCAGCCTGCAGGGAAAACCCACAGTTTCTCACGTTTCTCTGCTTTAAAGGAGAATCGATTTTAAAGTTTGTTCATGACCCTTTCATATATTCTTGTGGCCCACTTTTGGGTTGCGACCCATGGTTTGAGAAACACTGGAGTAGATGTGACTTCTTCATAGTATCATAGTAGCTAGGGTCAGGAGGGAGTTAATAATTCTTGGCCTGGGCCTCAATGTTCAGTGGTAAATTCATAGAATCATAGAATCATAGAAGTAGGGTCGGAAGGGACCTTGTAGATCTTCAAGCCCGCCCCCCTGCCTGGGCAGGAGGGAAATTGGGCTCAAGTGACCCCAGCCAGGTAGGCATCGAGCCGCTTCTTAAAGACCCCAGGGTAGGAGCCAGCACCACTTCCTTTGGAAGTTGGTTCCAGATCCTAGCCACCCTAACTGTGAAGTAGTTCTTA